ACAGACCACATTAACGAAGCTTTTGGCAAAGATGTTGTGGCCCGCCTCAAAGAATTGGTATACCGCTATATCGACATCTTCCGACCTGGTAAGATTACTGGAACAAAGTTCCCACCACCACACACCATTCAACTCCAAGAAGGTGCACGGATTCCTGCAAGTAACCCTTACCCTGAGGGCCTTGGCAGAACCGAAGTGTTACGTGAACATATCCAAACAATGAAGGAAGCAAATGTGATTCGTGAAAGCAAGTCACCTTTTGCTGCCCCCGTCGTACTTGCAAAGAAACCCGACGGTTCTTGGCGTTTCTGTGCTGACTTTCGAAAGGTTAACGAAATCACCATCAAAGACCAATATCCGCTCCCGCGAATAGAGGAAGTCTTTGATGCAATTAGTAACAAATATGTGTTCAATGCTATGGATTTACTTAGTGGATTCTGGCAAATCCCTGTCGCTGAGGAAGACCGTCACAAGACTGCTTTTATCTCCTTGCAAGGACTCCATGAGTTCAATGTTATGCCCTTTGGACTCTGTAACAGCCCTCCAACCTTTCAGAGAGCTATGGATCACGTTCTTGCTGGAATTAAGTGGTTATATTGCATGGTTTATGTTGACGATGTTGTAGTTTACTCCAACTCCGTCGACGAGCACTTTGCGCACCTTGAGAGTGTTTTCTCCCGCTTCAGCGAGTATAACCTTAAGCTGGAAACCCTCTAAGTGTAATCTCTTTCATCTGGACCTCCCGTTCCTGGGCCACCGAATCTCGAAAGAAGGACTCTGCAAGGATCCAACCAAGATTGTTCAGTTGGACCAGTACCCAATGCCCAAAACGCTCAACCAGCTACAGCAGTTCCTTGGTTTTGCAAACTACTTCAAGCGCTTCATTCAGGCTTTCTCTGATAAAGCAAAACCGCTATATAACCTTCTTTCTGGAAAGAACCCATTTCTGTGGGGATGTATTTCCTCATGGAATATTAACGGACTGAACTCCTGGCTTAAGGTCGCTCACAAATCCGGTGTCACTTTTGCTCAAGAAACTGACCCTGCCAAACGATTTGAGTCTTACCTCAACTCACAATCCTCTTGTATTGTTTGTTTGCAAGAAACACGTCTTGGTGCTAAGCGCCAGAAACTTGTTGATCAACTTTCCCAGATCAAGGGATGGAAGCTTTTGCTTTGCGATCCCCGAACCGGGATAAGTGGAGTTGCAATATTCTACCGTTCTGAGTTGAACGGCAAAGAATTCACCTATTTAGGAGACCCCCAACACACCCGAGAGGGACGTGTTGCTGTTCTTCTTGTGGGGCCATTTGCAATTGTGAACGTTTATGCTCCAAGTTCGTTTGCTGATGAAACCGGCACCCGCCATCCTTACAAGATGATTTTCCTTGAAGACATCACACGAAACTGCTCTGCGCTCCAACTACAAGGCTTTACTGTCATTGTTGCTGGAGATCTGAACATCGCACACACAGACCTTGATGTTGATCATTCCTTGCGTTTTACACTGAAAAAGTACAACGCTACGTTTCCTGGCCTTCTGGCTGAAGAAAGACAATGGCTCGACAGATTCTTAGCATCTGGCTATACTGATGCCTTCCGAAAGAGTTTCCCTTCTGCTCATGGACTGACCTGGACCATGAGATCTGTCTCTTCGAGCAAATGGGTTCCTCTCTTGAGAATTGATTATTTCCTTGTGAGTGCAGACATTGACCCTTCACAGTACAGTGTTCAAGTTCACAATGAAATTCCTGCTGCTGACGGACTTCCTGTCAGCGACCACTACTGCATTGAGTTTCTATCAAACCTTGGAGACCTCCTTCCCTGCTGTGCCAACAGAGCAAGAAACTGAAACAGCAGTCTCACCGCTTGACACAGCTCCCGTTACGCCTGAGTTGGTCGTAACACCAGAAGCCCTCCTAGAGAGTTTCCACTCAGAAGTACAAGTTCTTGACAACCCGCGTGCCCTAAGCTACCTTCAGAACAAGGACGAGTATTTTGGACCAATCCTTCGTTTTAGGAAAGATGGGATTCTTCCTGACGGAGTATCTCTTCGCACCATGACGACACGAGCAGCCATGATGGTGATTCGACACGGAGTTCTCCACGCCGTGAGAGATTCATACTCTTTCATGATGAAGAGAACCCCACTAAGACTTGCCATATGCATTCCTGACAACTTGCGGAGAAATGTTCTTAAACTTGTCCACAACGACCTCCTTTCTGGACACCTTGGTGCTCAGGAAAGTGTTTGACACCCTTGCCTGAACGTTTCTACTGGCCCACTATGGGTAGAGACCTCCACAACCACATTGCAAGTTGTGAAACTTGCCAAAAGAGTAAACCTGCGCCCTCCCAGTTCCTGGAGTTCTGCATCCTGTCCCCATTGGAATGTATCCCTGGGAACGAATTTCTGTTGACTTTGCTGGCCCTTTCAAAAAGACCACTGAAGGTTACCAGTACATTATGGTTGTGATTGATTATTTCACCCGCTGGGTTGAAGCAGTCCCTGTCACAGACATTACCGCAGAAACTGCTGCACGAGCCCTTGTAGAACAAGTGTTTTGCAGACACGGAATCCCTGTGTTCCTTCACTCCGACAGAGGACAGCCCTTTTCCAGTGAATTGTTTTCTGCTCTCTGTAAAGCACTCGGAACCAAGAAGACCTTCTCATCACCACGCTGGCCACGAGCAAACGGTGCTGTAGAATGTTACATCAAAACACTGAAGGCAACCTTACGGTCTTTCATTGATCAGTCATCCCATGACGACTGGCCCACTATGCTTCCGTATGCTCTTTTTGCGTACAGAACTCACGTCCACCCACTGACTGGAGAAACTCCGTTTTTCCTGATGCATGGACGCGACTGCCAACTCCCCATTGATATGTTCTCTGGAGTTGACAGAGATGATCCTCTCAGCACAGAGGAAAAAGCACTTCTTCCTGAAGAAGAAGATGCCGAACCTGATAGTACAACATTGCTGCTGGGTGACAATGTGTTTCTTGCTCAGAGCTTTGAATTTAAACCTCCTGTAGTTAACACACCTGAAACACTGACAACGACAGCAGTGTACTCAAAGAAAGCACTCCCTCTCTTTTCAAGCGAGCCCCTGCCTTCTTCACCGCAACTTAGGATTGTGTTCATGCGAACAACAAATCCTAGGCTCACCTTCCGACAGTAATTTGCCGATGAAACTCTGGCCCTTCCCCACAGAGTACCCTGTTCACGAAGTGCTGAGCGAGTTTATCTCCAGATACTCCATTGATGTCCTTTACATCTTTCACGAGCACCCACCTGCAATTGCAGGACGGCGACCTGAACATTTGAAATTCCCCACTTTTCTGCGAAACTCACTGAATCCTGGTGGAATGACAACGTCTCTGGCCGCATCGCAGGCTTTTTACTGATCGTTCTGCCTGTTATGTTTACAGGGCCTCAACACCTCATTTGTCCTGAACACTTGCTGAAATCAGTTGCTGTGACTGAATTCAAACGCGGGCTCACTGTTCTTTCAAGAAACGGAGAACTTGCGTACCTTTTTGCCAACAAAACAGGACACCAAATTACCCTAAACCTGTTCACGCCGCCTTCACTTGAAACGCTTGCACCAGCTCTCCCGCTGTGGGCTGGCGCCTTCAGCCACCACTTCTGTTTGAGCTCCCTTCAACAGACCCATCTGAAACAATGAGTTCAGAACTCATTCTGACAGAACCCTATGTAGCTGAAGTTATTGACAAGCTTACTGCTGCGCAGAACATTGTTATGACACGAGCAAAGCAGAATCAAGAGCTTTTGCATCTTGCTTCCCTTGAAAAAGATAAAGAAGCTCACAAAATTCAACTCGGACAGAGGGCTTGGCTCTCTGTTCCTCTTGATAATCCCGGCAAACTTAACGATAAGAACCGCTCACTCCTCTTCCGTTGGGTTGGCCCTGTACAAGTCATTGCAATCACTGGCAAAGACTCTGAAGCGCAATACACAATTGTTGAAGCATTCCCTGGAAATCAGATTGTGACCAGAACTGTGCATGTTTCATGACTGCGACCTTACACTGAGCAAGCTCCTGCTGACTCCGCAGAAGAGGCTGCAGACCTTGCTGGTGCAACATATGACGAAGAACTTGAAAAATGGCAAACCGCTAAGAAACGCTACTGTCAACCCTCTTCAAAAACCACGATGGCTCCTGGCATCCACCCTGAATTTGTCAGATGATACTTTGAGCCTGAAGATGATGAAGAAGACCCTGCCGATATCGAATACGAGATTGAGCGCATTAAATCTCACACATTCGAAAATATATCTTGATGGCGAAAAATATATGTATCTAACCAAATGGTTAGGATACTCTTCCAAGCATGATTGGAACCAACTTGAAGAAGACTTACACCCCAAAGCTATTCAAGACTACTGGGCTCTTGTAAAAGAGAACGATCCAGATGAGTTCCAGCAACGCACAGAATTCATTGCAAACCGACCCTCCAAGCGCTCCAATGCTCCAGGTCCCAAAAACACAAGTCCTGCAACGTGTGCAGAAACTCTTGTAAAACCGATGAGCACCACAAAGAAGCTCATCCCAATAAACCCACCACCTGCAACCGGAACGCGACGTAGCCTCCGATTGCAAAAATCCAAGTGACGCCTTGGACCCGCCTTATTTTAATTTGTCGCATCTATGGCTGCGAGAATAAAAAAGAGGTACTGTGAGGACGACAGGCTGTTGAGCCTGCGACCTCAAATAAAAAGAGTATACCCCGCTTTTTTAACTGATAACTTGTGAGGATTATCAATTTGACTCGACCAAACAACGTTTCACGAAAGTGATGTAACACGGCTGGACCTCATTTCTTATTATTTTCATGGGTTATTATTGTCCCTGCAAGCCGAACCACTGAGATTTGGACTGTCTCTTAGCCTGCGGCCATGTATATTATTCATGTTATTATTACGTATTAAGTTGCAGGCCGAATGGGTCAGGCCTGCTCTGCACTACTGGCCAGAGGCCCTCTAGCTCAGTGGTGTAGAGCGCTCCCCTTCAATGGGAAAGGTGCTAAGTTCGAGACATGCTGGCAGTCACTGACTGAATGATGCAGAAATGCTAAGTTCTGCACAATGACTAGGCCTTGCCCCCCTCACTTTTGGAAATGGATTAGGATGATGTGCTTCAGTGGGTAGAAGTACAGAGTCCAGGTGTACACAGAGCTAACACAGAGCTGCTACATAAGCCTACCATGATGAAAGGCCTCATGAAAGGGTATGAGATCATAGGGTTTTTTCTCCTTTCTTTATTGATGATTTTTACTTATTTTTTCAATTAGTAGTTTATCCTGTTTTTCCTGTTTTTACTGTTTTATCTTTTATTTATTTGTTTGTTTGTTGTCTCTGTGTGTGTCTCTTTTCTTTTGTGGCTGTGAGTGACTGTCTTCCTCTTTGCACCAACCAGCTCTCTCCATCTCCTCCATCTTTCTTGGCAGCTGATGCCAAGAAATGCTCCATGATTTTCTGAGCTGTCTTCCTTGTTTGATGGCTCAGCCCCATTGTTTGGTGACTCACTCCTCCTCTCTCTTCTTTGTTGTTTTATTTATTGTTTTGTTCTTTTGTATATGTTTTCCCCTCTTTTCCCTTCCTTCTTCCTTCACCCTGCTGATTCCAACCCTCTCCTATTTAAGCAGCCCACCCCCCATTCTTGTTGCCCCTTAGAACCTGTACCTGAAGTCTTCTTGCCTGCCCTTATTCCTTCTCTGACTGTGTGTATGAGCTGGGGGTGGCAGTCCCCTGGTGTGTGACAGGAGAATTGGTTCTCTTGGCCATTTATGGCAGTGTGCTGGGTTCAAGTCCCAGTGCACCTCACCATTCTGCACATACTGTTTAGGCTGGTCTGGGGTAGGAGCTACTTGATGATGGACGGTGGGAGGGTAAAACTGTGGTAGTGCCTCGCCGGTTCCTGTCAATACATCACTTCAAATCCAGGTCTCTCAAGGTGATATGAATGAGTTGGCTGGTCAGGTATTATGTGGTGGTATGGTCTCTCTGGTATTCCTCCCTGTCCCTGGTGATGGATTCCTTTGGCCTTTGGTGGGCCTGGTTCGCTGGGTTCAGACCCTCTTCCTTTCATGCTAATACCTGTGGTTGTCTTTGGTGTCTTCCTTGTGTGTGGGAGTGGGTATTGACCTTCCTTGCTTCTAAGACAGGTTATTCTCTCTGGCCTGGTGAGGCAGAGGTCTGTCTCCTGGTAGGATGAAGCAAGAAGAGTCCCACTGTCTCCCACCCTGGTTGCACCCTCTCCCTTGGATTGAGTTGGAACACTCTCCTTGGAGTGAGACAAGTTGTGTCTGGTTCTGTTAAGTGGAAAACAGTTCTGATTTGGTTCAACAGGCACCTCTGCACACTAACTGTTCCTTGTGTCTGCCCTTTGTCTCTCCAACCCCCTCCAACTCAGGGTTTGACTTGTTGTTTATTTCTTTTGTTGTTTCTTTTGATGGGTTGTAGTGGCTTGTCACTCCCCTTACCGATTCAGTCGGTCTCACCGATCAAGTCGGTTCTGTCTCTGGTCTAACTTGGCTTTGGCCTTGTGCCCCAGATGAAACCCTTCTGTGTCTTGCACCAGAGGATTATGCTTTCTTTTGTGATTGTGTCTGTTTCATGCTTTGGTGTGAGAAACCCCTCTTTTGTGTTAGAGATTTATTTGTGTTTTTCTTGGGCTTTTTAAGACTCCAAATACACTTTCCTGTCTAGTGCCCCTAGACACCCTCCTTTTGCCCCTTTTCATTAGTCAGGATTGGTATTTAGGTCCATGCTCTAGTTTCCACCTATAGCCCTAGGTGAGGAGTTAGAGAGCACAGTCTCACAGTTGTTGCTGACGCCCTTTCACGTGTTCTTATTGGACCTGCTGCAATGAAAGGAAAGCGCCTCGTTTTCACTGATGAAGCCACTACACAGACAGAGATGTCTCCCACCAAACCTGCAGCCTCCCCTGATGAGACAACATCAGGCGGAGACGCAGCAAAAAAAGAGGTAGCTGATGCTACTGATGAAGATTTTGGATACGAAATCAATAGACTGTACTCCGAGGATTCTGACTCTGAGAACAACGTGTTGGAATCTGAAAATGCAGACCAACCACTGCGTGAAGTATCCCTCTTTGACCCTGTGATCGATATACTTCGCCACCATCTTATATGACAGCGTGAGCCTGCTGTTGTAGAAGTGTACAAACAACCTAAATGGACTCCTACCTTTAACATCTCTTCCTGGAATGTTAATGGTTTGTACTCCTGGCTTAGGGTCGCTCACAAATCTGGTGTCGACTTTGCACAACAAACTGACCCAGCGAAGCGATTTGAGGATTTCCTCAATTCCCAATCCTCTTGCATTGTTTGTCTGCAAGAGACGCGTCTTGGGGTAAAACGCCAGAAACTTGTTGATGAGTTATGCCAGATTAAAGGATGGAAGTGCTTACTTTGTGACCCTCAAACTGGGAAATAACGGCGTTGCAACCTTCTACCGTTCTGAGCTGAACGGACGAGAATTCACCTTTTTGGGAGACCCTCGACACATCAAAGAAGACGTGTTGTTGTTCTACTTGTCAGACCTTTCGCAATCCTGAATGTCTACGCTCCCAGTAGCTTCGCTGATGAAACTGGTTCCCGACAACCTTATAAGATGAACTTCCTTGAAGACATCCTGCAAAACTGTTCAGCCCTCCGTACACAAGGATTTATAGTCATTGTTGCTGGAGATATGAACATCGTGCATACTGACTTAGACGTTGACCACTCCCTTCACCTCCGCCTGAAGAGAGAGCATGCGACCTTCCCTGGCCTCTTAGAGAGTGAGAGACAGTGGTTTGACAGATTCTTAGCATCTGGCTATGTTGATGCGTTCCGACACACTTTCCCTTCTTCCCATGGACTGACTTGGACCATGAAGTCCTCGTGCTCCGGCGAATGGATCCCTCTGCTGAGAGTAGACTACTTCCTTGTGAGTAACAATATTAACCCCTCACAGTACAGTGTCCAAATTCACACAGAACACCCCTCGTTTGATGGCCTTGCCATAAGCGACCATTATTGTATTGAAGTGCTCACAGGCCTTGGAGATCTTGTCCCTGCTGCCCCAACTGAGCAAGAAATTGCCAGTGCAGTTTCACCACTCAATACGATCACTGTAGCACCTATTGAGGGTAGCACGCCTGCTGTCGACACAAATGCTGCACTTGAGAGCTTCCCATCTGAGGTTCAGATTTTAGATAACCCACGCGCACTGAGTTATCTTCAAAACAAAGACCCTTACTTTGGACCTATCCTTCGTTTTAGGAGAGATGGCACTCTTCCTGAAGGTGTTAGCCATCGTACTATGACTACACGCGCAGCCATGATGGTGATACAACACAGAGTGCTCCACGCTGTGAGAGACTCCTACTCTTTCATGATGAAGAGAGCCCCACTACGACTTGCTGTATGCATCCCAGACAATTTGAGGAGAAATGTCCTTAAACTTGTCCATGACGACCTCCTTTCCGGACACCTTGGTGCCAGGAAAGTGTTCGATACCTTGCCGAACGGTTCTACTGGCCAACAATGGGTAGAGACCTTTGTAACCATATTGCGAGTTGCGACACTTGTCAGAAAAGCAAACCTGTGCCGTCCCATCCTGGAGTTCTGCACCCTGTCCCCATTGGTATGTATCCCTGGGAACGAGTGGCTGTTGACTTTGCAGGCCCCTTCAAAAAGACTCCTGAAGGCTACCACTACATTATGGTTGTGATGGATTACTTCACCTGCTGGATTGAAGCAGTCCCCGTCACTGAAATCTCCACAGAAACTGCTGCACGCTCTTTAGTAGAACAAGTGTTCTGCAGACATGGAGTTCCTGTGTTCCTTCACTCTGACAGAGGACAGCCCTTCTCCAGTGAATTGTTTGCTGCTCTGTGCAAAGCACTTGGAACCAAGAAAACCTTCTCGTCGCCACAGTGGCCTTGAGCAAACGGTGCTGTAGAACGCTCCATTAAGAGTTTGAAGACTATGGTTAGGTCTTTCATTGACCAGATGACTCACGACGACTGGCCTTCCGTACTCCCATACATTCTGTTTGCATATAGAACACACGTTCACCCACTGACTGGAGAAACCCCGTTTTTCCTGATGCATGGACGCCATTGCCGACTCCCCATTGATATGTTCTCTGGAGTTGACAGAGAAGACCCTCTAAGTGAAGAGGAAAAAGCTCTTTACCCCTCTGATGACGAGGATGAAGAGCCCAACACACAAACTTTGTTGTTGGATGATGACATGTTTCCTGCCCTAAGTTTCAGTTGCGAGCCTCAGAGCCCCATTCTTGATGAACTTGAGACGCTTACAACAAAAGCTGTGTATCCGAAGAAAGCACTGCCCCTCTTTTCCAAAGATCCAGTGCCTCCTTCCCCACAACTCCAGATTGTGTTTTTGAGAACAACCAATCCGAGGCTCACATTGCGACAGTATCTGCCAATGAAACTCTGGCCCTTCCCAATAGAATATCCTATTCATGAAGTGCTCAGCGAGTTTATCTTCAGATACTCCATTGATGTGCTTTACATCTTTCATGAACGACCTCCTGCGATTGCAGGTCGACGACCTGAACATTTAAAGTTCCCCCCCTTCCTCCGAAGTTCTCTGAACCCCAGTGGAATGACAACAGCTTTGGTTGTGTCACAAGTTTTTACCGACCGTTCTGCCTGTTACGTGTATGGGCCACGCAACCTCATCTGCCCTGAGCACTTGTTTGAACCAGCTCTAGCCTGTGAGCACACTCACAGACTCACCGTTCTGTCCGGAAATGGAGAAATTTCATATGTTTATGCAGACAAAACAGGACACCAAGTCACCCTTAACCTGTTCAAGCCGCCCTTGCTGGCGACACTAGCGCCCTCCCTCCCTCTTTGGGCTGGAACCTCTGCGCCGCTCCTGTTTGAACTCCCTTCAACAGACCCACAAGAATCGATGAATTCAGAACTCATTCTGACAGAGCCTTATGTGGCTGAAGTTGTTGACAAACTTGTTGCTGCACAGAAGATTGTCATGACACGTGCAAAGGAC